TATTTTTAAAATTATCATAATTGAAAATTAGTATAGTTTTAATTTTCAACAAAAGAAATTTTTATAATTTCAGTTTAAAATTATAAAATTATACAAATATCAATTTTTATTTTATAATTAAATCTATCTATAATTACTAATTTTTGGTTAACTAAAAATAATAATTATAGATAAGTCTGACTATATTTTTTTTATTATATTTACTTTTTTTATTTAATAAAATATCCTTTATTATATTATTATAAAACTTTATTTTATTTTTTTTAATTTAAAATTTTTTAAAAATAATCAAATAAAATCAGATTTTTATTAAGATTTAGTTAACATTTTTTTAGTAAAAGATTATTTAAAACTTGATTTATTAAATTCTAAATTATTATTATATAAATTTTATTCTTTTTAAATTAAAAAAAAATATATTTAATAATATTTTATATTCTAAATAAAATATATATTTATAAACTTATTATTAAAGAAATATTATTATAATAATGTTTTAATTTAGATAAATAAGAGGTAAATAATATATTTAAAAATTAAATTGTAAAGGAAAAAATATTAAAAAGTATTTTTTTATATTATTATTATTATTAAGAAATAAAATTAGTAGTATTAGCTTAGTTGATAATAATTAAGTTTTTATTCTAGATTATATTATAATAGCTATAAGTTTAAGTTTTATTTGAAATATAAAACGTATATGATTTTTACAAAAATTTTATTTATAATTAAATATATATACGTATATACTAATATATATTAAAACTGATTGATTAATCTATCAATTAACTTTAATTATGTTTAAATACTAGTTTTAAAAATATAAAAATATTTTACATCAAAAATTAATAAAAATCTGATTTAATTAATAGGTCTATAATAAATATCATTTCACTTTTTTAATTTTAAAAGAACTTTATATATAATTGACTAATTATTAGTAAATCAGTTTAATCTAAAAATAAAATTACCAGTTATAATAGACTGTATTACAAATTATTATACTGTACTAATTTATCTATCATTAAGATTAAAGGTCAAATTAATTTCTAAGTGAATTTAATAATATAAATATAATAGTTATTATTTTATAGTTCTATTAGATAATAATAACTTTTAAGATATAAGTCTTATAAGGTTATTTTATTATTAAACCTTTTTGATAATAAGTAAAGATTGTGATTTTTAATAGGATTACAATTAAAAATAAAATATAATAAGCTCTATAGTTAAAGTGATTCCTCTATTCTAATTTAATAATAAAAATTTATAGGAATTTATTTGAACTAAATATAAGTAATATAATAGTTTAACTAGTTTTTTTAGTTGTTTATAATAATAGTGATAGCTAATAATATAAATTCAAAATATTTTTATAAATACAAAATGTAAAAAAAATTTTGTGTAATCATATGTATGTTATATATAAAAGTAAAATAAGAATAGACATAATTATTATTTAATATGTATTGTACTTATTATGTAACTCTAATTTATATCACTAGTGATAGTCTCTTTAATAAAGATATTAGTGATAACTTTATCTAAAATTAATTATACTATTATCTAAAGTTGGTATATAGATATCTTCTTAATTATAAAACATATAATCTTAATATTATTTTATATAATGATAAGTATCTAGTATAAGTTAATATCTGTAAAATAAAAATATTATTATTATTAAGAAAAAAAAATAGTATTTATTGTTATTAAAAAAAAAAGTATTAATATTACTATTGAAAAAATTCATTTAGTAAAGTTTAATTATAAACTAAATTCTAAAAATATATTTATTAAATTTCTTTTAATAAAAAATAAATTAAAAAAATCATACTTTTATATTTAATATATTTAATATTATTATAAAAATTTGATTATTAATTAGATTATATTAAATTATTAACTAGTGCAAAATTTAATCAAAATTTTAAATTATAAAATAAATAGGTTTAATATATCAATATAAACTTATTTTATATAATATAATCTTTTATTATTTTGAAATAAAGTGAAAGATTATATATATTTTACATAACTTAATATCTTATTATCTGTCTGCTTAATAATTGAATCAATTCTGATTGGTTATTATAATTGCATAAAATATAAATAAAATAAATATCAATATAAATTTTTAGTTAAAATCATTTTAACTTAATAATAATTTCTATAGTTTTATAATTAGTTATTTGATTTTATAAGTAAATTATTAAATTAATTTTTAAACTGAATTTTAATAATTATTAATAAAATTAATATAAAAAATAATAAATATTTATAGATTTTTTGTATTTAAATAAAATAATAAAATAGTTTTATTAATAAATATATCAGTTTTAAAATAATTATTATTTTTATATTTAATTAATTACTTTTATAATTTTTTATATAATAAAACTTTTTTATTATTTAATTTAAACAAATTTAATTTAAAAATTATACTATTAAATCAAAATAATTTACTATATTTATATATAATATAATATTTATACTTATTAAAGAATCAAAATTTAGCTAACTATTATTTAAATAAATCATATAAATTAGTTTTATTAGTCAAAAGATAATCATTAAGCATTTTAAAATTAATTTTAATAATTTTATTTAATTCTTTTAAAACATTATTTAAAATAAAAATGTTATTATAATATATAATGCTTATTTATTAATAGTTGCAATTAATTATAATTTAATTTTTATAATTTTATAATTAATTTATAATACTATGATACTTATTTATTACTGTTTGACAATTATTTATAATACTATCTTTAGTCTGAAATTTTTCTATATAATTTATTTTTTTTTAATGCCAATTTTTAATAATAATTTTTCTTATGTATCTATATAATGCTAATTTTTTTAAGCGATTGATTTTTAAGATTAATTAATCAATTAAAATGGTTAACATGTTAAAAAAAATTCTTTAACAAGTTAAAAATTGCTAATTTTAACTCTAGCAAAAAAATTAAAGATTTTTATGATTGTCAAAAATATTTGCTGATCTGTTTTAGATCTTTTTAGTTATAAGATGATCTTACTATATTTATACTCCTTATGGAAATTTATTGATGCGATATTTGTAGAATATCATCCCAAATATAAACCCTTGTTATCGACTTGTTTTTGACCAACATCGAACAAAATTTTACATTTCTTTTCATAAAGAAGCCGACATGCTCCGAGGGAGTCTGGACTTGAGCTTTCCTTATGATCTTGTCCGTTGTGGTCTAAAACTAAATAATTTTCGCGCGGCAATATTCTAACATTAATATTTTTCAACTCGTTTTTGTTAGAATCATCGACAGAAGGATAGGACGTCTACATTTCTGGAACGATCGAGTTCGTGTGTCTAGAGCAGGAGCGAATTTTGAGAACAATTATGAATAATTGAGCTTTTTCTTAATGATATGCATATCTGTACAGAAACGATACCATGTCAGTGTAATTAATAAAGCACAATATATGATGGAGAAACATGTTAGAAGAAACTGTGGTAGCAACAAAAATACATCCAATGTTATTTTATTCCATTTCGTGATACTGACTTATTTTTCTGTAGGTTTTAAATGATGAGGTCGGCAGTTGTTCCAAGCCCACTCCAAATGTGATAAGGACAAGAGATAAAGTATTTAAATTAAAGTTAATTATCAGTGGTTAAAGTCTAATACCTGCTAACAGTTTACAAATATGTATATTAATGAATGTGTAAAACGCACTTAAAATTTACCCTCAATAATGGAATTGAAGTGTGAAAAATGAAAATGCTCCAAATACGACCAAGAAAGATAGTGAAAAGTATGAGATCGATGAAGAAATTAAGTTTGATTTAACAAGCATTTTGATAGAATTATAACGCGATCCAACAAGCAAAATATGCCACATGGATTTTGATTCTTTTATTTTACGTATCTCACAGTTTGCTTGTGTTTTTTTTGTGTGGGAAGTTTGTCGAACTTTTGTAAGTTTTTTGATAATTATATCAGGATATATTAATGAATTTTTTTCTCGTTGCATATAATCAATGATGTCACTTTGTTGGCCATGTCCATATCCTTACGTTTTAAGCGAACCCTGGGTTATCATCTCTTTTTGATCAATTGATTATATTAATTCTCGATTCAATCCCTCCGTACAATATGTAATTTATCGATCACGATAAAAGGTTATAATAAAAAATTTTTTATGAGTGGTATATACACGAATTTCCGTTAAATTATTACGTGAAACTTTCGTAAAGCAAAAAATCTAGCGGCTAAAAGTCATAATAAAATTGTCAGTTCTAAGATTTTTTTTTAATGATCGTTATTATACTCTCATATGATGATGTTTAATGGAATAATTTTATTCAGAAACGGAAGTCTTTATTTTATTTTTGGACTGGGCCTCCAAACTTGGCGATTCCATGAAAATTACCGATTTCGATCTATCATTTCTATAATTAGAAATTTCCTAATATTGTTCAGAACAATTTTACGATTTGTTCAACCAATGGATAGCATATGCAACTAAAACGGAACAGTTCATGATGACAGAAATCTATAAAAATCTAGGTTCGTATAAAATAAGCCTTCTTGAGAAGATTCGTCCCAGAATATTGATAATAGACCCGAATGATCAAAATTAGTATTGATTTTAACATCCGATCCAACGATATAATATGATGATCGAAGTGTGCAATTATTAAAGAAGCGTCTTACAATATGTAGGAATCGGGAATTCCAAATCCGATGTAAATCGCTGTGAATTCTGCCGGAGGTAAATCAGCATAAAAAGTTGAAGTAAGCTTCGTTACTTGTTATGGCATTCATAATCCGAAGAACCAATGAACTTTACGTGTTTTATCCATTTAGAAAAAATAAACGGCAGAGGGAATGCATATTTTAATTGATCTTTTATTATTCTTTTAAGTTCGCATGTACCGAATTTTCATTTCCTCTTGTTTCCCGAGATAACATCTATCTCGACATTTACATTTGCATGACAACAAAAAAAATATGTCAAAATTACCATTTGAATGTCTACAAACGATATTTCATGAACTTGATGAGAAGGCATTGTATTCTAGCATCCTTGTAAATCGTGCATGGTGTCAAATAGCAATTCCACTTCTATGGTCTTCTCCGTTTCATTTCCTTCACAAAAGTGATAATAATTATTCCATGGCGATTTATTCAACTTCGTTGAGTTCAAATTCTTCAACAATCTTGATACAGACATATTTACGCTGTTTTCCCGAAGCCATTCAAGCTTCATTAATCGAAAATGGATTAATGCTTCCTCCATCAATAATACAATCATTACCACCTCTATTCCCTTATGACAAGTATATTAGATCAATTAGTTACTCCAAAATGTATCACGTAATAAGCGAATGGTTTGAATCGGAAATTGATGATTTAGAAGATATTGATGAAAGGGAAGGTTTAGAATATTTGGTTACAGAAAAATTAATTCGTTTATTCATTTCTTCATCTCTTTCGATAACGGATCTTTCATTAACGGATGAAGATGGGATACCTTCTCTACCACCAATTTCCTTATTCCCAAATGCCGAAAATTCTCTAAGTAAACTTGTAAAATTTACTTGTATAGGAGATTACCAGTATAATATGAAAGATCTATTTATCTCGCTCACGGGAATTTCTAGGAATATCAAAGAGATAATTATCGGAGGTCTTTCCACTTCAATCGAAATTAAATTATTTGGTAAATTAATTAAATCCCAAAGAGCATTAAAGTCCATCGAAATACTTGGGAATGGTCCGATTGATTTACAAATGATTTCTTTAGATATTTTACAACCATTAAAAACACAACAATACTCTCTAGAAAATATTAGATTCATGAATTGTGATTTTGAGGAATGTGCTACGTTATATCCAATTACATTCCTTCCAATGTTGAAGAGCATTGAATTTGAAAAATGTAGAAATTTAGCATTACAAGATTTAACGTCCCTAGATATGAAAAAGTTACCTAAACTTCAGATCTTTAAAACGCGTGAAAGTTACATACCACCGTACACCCTCGAAGCGATCATTTGTAATTCACACGAGAGTTTACGTGTAGCCGAGTTAAGTCGTAAGTTATCCCAAGATGAATCCAGAATTCTATTATCGAGGATTCCTTCACGTTGTACACGATTGGAAGTCTTGGACATTAGGATATATCAAGAGGATATTGGAAGTTTCTTAAATTTATTGAAATATTGTGAAAATTTAAGGGAATTGACTGTATTTGGAGATGTTTATGCTGAGGAATTGTTACCCTTAATTGCTTTAAATTTACGTTCAAAACATTTACAAAAATTATGTTTTATTGGAAGGTGGGTTTTTAGCAAAACTAGCATGAATACTTTCCTTCAAGGGTTTAAGTCCAAAGAAAAGTTTCGAGAATTACAGGTATCGCAAGGGCAAGTCGGAAGTGAAATTACAAATCAAGAACGTATCATAATTTGTAAACCTCCGAAAATCTTAAAATTTCAATCAAATGATGTGATTAATAACGATCATTTGGATGTTATAGTCGATTGGGTTTTTAGTGAAAAATCTATTAAGAATGGCAAATGTGATTTAGAGAAATTGGAACTTGTTTGGTGTCAAAAATTATCTCACGACGTTCTTCAACGAACGAAATGTTTGTACGGACTTGTCGTCGAAATAAAAAATTATTAGAAACTTTATATGGAATTATCTTATAAAATTAATTAATAAAATCTAATTAAAATCTTTCATTATTAAGAACGTCCTGCCTGGCACGTGAGCAAATTTATGGTCAAGTATCAGGATCAATTTATACAGTTTCCAATTAAATCAAAAGTATTCACATTGTCATGATTGACTAATTCATTACTAAATTTGTTTAATGGGTTATCTGACCAATAAGATCCCAGAACAATATCCGGAAGTCTCTTTTCATAAGTTTGTTTTTCGTTAACACGAAAAGTTACATTATAGCAAAAGAATTAATTTTATAGGAAATGAAATAATTCAAATTTTTAATTGAGAACAGATATCCGAATATTATATACTAGGTAATAAAGTCAATGAACATATTTGACCTAAAAATCATATTTGCCATATAAAAGTAAAATTGATTTTTTCCGCCTGTTTTTCCCCTTTCTATTGCAAAGGTCCCATATATTTTCATTTTCAACAGATCACAAGAAAACTTTCTAAAAGAATTTTTGTGTCATATTTTCAAACTTGTTCTATATCAAATGCAATTGCACTCTTGATAATTATAAGTATATATAAATAAAAAATGATTTAATTTACTTCTCTTATTGTTAAATGTTTTTTATTAATAAAACAACTTTGAATTTATTTTGAAATATGTTGAAAACTCATAAATGAATAAAAAAAGCTGGTTATCAATCATACTTATATTCAAATTTGTTTGAATTATAATATTAAATTAAAAATTAGAAGTTTTATACATAAATTAGTATTAAAATATATATGCATTTGCTATATAGAATAGAAAAATAGGTATATATTGTAATAAAATATTACAAGGGATAATATTTATTTATAATTTTTAAGATTTTTAATGAATTAACTCTTAAACCTTATATTATAAAAATTATAATTTTAAAAAATTATTAGCTTCTTTTTAATAATAGCATTCTTTTTCTTAATTATTAAATATAAATTGCAATACTTATAAATTTTTTTATAATGAATAACTAACTTTAATAAAATAAAGATAAAGTATAAATTCTTTTTATGAATAATATAATGAAACTTTCTTCTTTTTTTTTCAAATTACTTTTATTTATTTTTCTTTAACATATTTATAAATAAAATGTTAAATTCTTTATGTGATAAATTAGGTGTAAAACATAAATTATTAATTGCATATTATTAATTTTTTATAATAAATATAAAACTTTGATATAATAAATTTTTATTATTAGAAATTTTAAATTATTTTTATTAGTCAAAATAAAAGGTTTTAGTAATATTGAAAATTAGCTCTAGAAAAATAATTTGTAAAAATTATTATTAGATTTAATTTTATGTAAATTATATTAAGAAAGATCTTATATTACATCATCAAAATTGATTGATATATTTGCATCAGAAATTAGCTGATTTGTAAAATTTGTAAAATTTATCTAATTTACCTAATTTATCTAATTGGTTTAATTTATTAAATTCTTTATTTTCTCTATAATTATTATTTTTATTATTTATTTCTTAAAATATAGATAAAAATTGATTACAAAACATTATAAAAGAATTATAATATTTTAATATTTAGTGATCATAAAAGATAAAATAAAATTTATTAGATTTATTATATTAAGATATATCTAATGATAGTTTTTTAAATTTTTAAATTAGTAATTATTAATATATATATCAATTTTTTAATTTTTTTAATTTTTCAAAATAACTTATTATCTAATAATACAAAAAAATAAAATTTTAGTTTATTAGGATTTATCTTATTAAAACCTATTAAATAAGTAAAAATTTAACTTTTTTTTTATAATAATTTATTATATATTTATCTTTAAAATATCACTAATTAATTATATTTTTTTTGAATTTTTTACTTAGAAAATATTATAAAAATTTATTATAAAAATATTAAATTTTAAATAAGTTATTTTAAAAAATTTAAAATTATTATAATAATTTTAATGATTAAATAACTTTAAGCAAATTTGCTTACAATATACTTGAAAGAATATTATTTTTAATAATTTTATTATAATTTTATTAGATTTTATTTTTATAAATTTTTATTATTTTATAGTTTAGTAAATAGTTAGACATAGTAAAATAATTTTGTATAAAATATATTATTTTTTGTTTAAATTAACTTTTTATAATTATGAATTTCAATATTATAAATAAAAGAATTAATTTAAAATTACAAAAATTACTTTTTCTTCTTCTAAATTT